AGACATGGAATCAGAAAGGGGGTACAAGAATAGCCCCTGCCATTGAAAAGTCCTCAACAGACGAAAGAGGCTCCAGAAACCCCCAGCTGCTCCCTTTCATCTGGGTTGGCATCCCCGCAGGGTTCCTCAGCACTGCTCTTTCGCGGGCCCCTCGCCTTTGCTCACAAGTACCCCTTCCGGGGCTCCCTCCTCCCTCCCAGTTCTCCTCCTTCATGTTGTTGCCTTCGGTCTCAGCTGGGCTTAATGGCCGAGGTACAGGCCAGAGGAGGAGGCGGGCTTCAGAGTCTCCAAAGTACTATGAGATTTGTTTCTCCTATGGCCTTCGCACAGGGTGTGGAGAGTCACTACCATTTCACGAATGAGAAAGCCAAGGCAAGAAGTGCCGATTAGCAGGCAGTGGCAGAGCTTGTGATCACTGTCCTCACCACTGTGCCCTCTGCCCTGGAGAAGCAGTTTGTCAGGACCGCGTGTAAAATAGGAGTTAACAGGCTCTGATATGCCCCTATGAGAAGGGAGCTTTAGCACAGGGACTGGGGAGGATTTATTTTGGAGGGTTAGAGCCTCTTGTTTTCCTCTTGATTCTCGGCAGCAGGGTGGGCAGGTGAGCCTAGAGAACTCCCAAGACCCCCACCAGCCTGAGTGATGGGTTCCAGCCAATCTGCCTTGGATTCTCCCTCGGCGGCCTCCTTCTCATGACCAGCTCAGATTCCCCTCCCCTAGGTGGATTTTGCACAGAAAACCCACCTCAGGCCAAGGTGGCAGTGTGTGCTGAGGGGACTGGAGATAGCTTGTCTCTGAGGTGGAGAAGACAAGAAGCTATGGCCCGGGGACCCAGGCAGGCAGGAGGCAGACATCCTGGACTCACCTGGTTCTGATCCTGTGGCCACACCACCGAGCTCAGGGCTAGTGCTGGAGCTGGTGTGTTTGCCCCATCAAGAGGCAGGACAGAGCGGCCCCTGACCCACCTTCCTGCCCCTGCGAATGGCCAAGGCTCCCACCCATTGTTCCCTGGGACACTTTGACAGGATGCAAAGAATGTGGGGCCTGGAGACGGGAAGGAAGTCCTGGCTTCCACGGGGCCAGGCTCCTACCAGATTCAGGCCTGCCCTCCAGACAGGGAGGTGGGGAGCCTTGGTCCCATCCTGTCGTACTGAGATTTCTGGGCATCCCCAAGCCAGGCCTTGCCCCCTCTGTGCCTCTGAGGAGGTGCTGGTGATGGTGTAAAACTGGGGACAGACGATCCCAGACGAAGGAGTAGAAAGGTGCTGCCCCGGGGCCAGGCCCGCCCTTAGCCCTGGTTGCACTCCCCACGCCCCTCCTGCACTCATAAATACCACACACACGGTCACATCCATGGGGTGCCTTACACACTCCATGTACGTTCTTACACACACACGTAGCCACACAGCTGCCACATAAGCACACACCATGCCCATGCTCACATCCTCACATGTGCCCCACCGTCAACCTCTCTAGTGGCATCATTGTCATGGCTAACGTGTATTGAGCACTTACTGTATACCAGAGACGGTTCTATACACTTTAGGTTCATCTTCTCAATGATTCCTTCAAGCAGTCCCATGAGGAAGGCATTGCAATCACCCCCATTTTGCAGGAGAAACTAAGGCACCACAGGCTATGTGGCATGTCAGGATCAGCCGGACTGTAAGTGGCGGAGGTGGAATGTGCCCCAGCAAGTAACCCTCACATCTGCACCCCCTTGGGACCTCCCCAGCTCCACAGCACTCAGTACTCAAGCACCATTGCCCCAGCAGCCTTGCCAGGATGTTGCAAAAGGAAAGTGAGAAACATCTGGGAAAGTGCTCGGCCACCACCCTCTCTCCCTCCCAGGGCCTGCACATAAGGTATTGTTCTCACTGTCGGGAATTCAGTCCTTGCTCAGCCTCGGGCCTTCCTGGCCAAGGAGAGGCTGCTTTTAACTCCTCGGCCCGCCACCTCCCTGACGGCATCCTTGGCCATGGTGGCCTGAGGTTCCCTAGCCTACGGCCTCTCTCCGGCCTGACCACAGCCCGCCCAATAATGCTGTGACAGTCATTGTCTTCATTGTCTCATTTGATACTCCAGGCAGCCCTGCAAAGTATGAACTGATAACCCATTTCACAGCTGAGAAAAGAGGCTCAGAGAGGTTAAGTCACCTGCCCCAGGTCACATAGCCAGTGATGGACCATGATGGGATCTGAACCTGGGTCTGCCAACCCCCAGGCCTGTCCCTCTCCAAGCAGGGCATCACAGGGCTCCCTCCCTAGTCAGCTTTTGTCCTGGCAGAGGCTGGGTGGGCATCCGTCCTTGCACACACACATACACACACACACACACACACAGCCCACATTGTTGCTTCCTCCTCCAGCTGCTAATCGGGTCTCACAGACCATCCCGTTTCCTGCCAGCTGCTGGCTGCCTCCTTTGCTCCTGATGGCACTTCCTGATCGCGTGCCCTCCTGTTACCTCCTTGGCCTCAAGAGGGGCTGGGGTAGGGGCTGGGCAGTGCCAGAAATCGGGCCTGAGATCTTCACTGGGCCCTGAGGGGGCACTAGCTTCCCCTCATGTGGCCTGGACCCCTATAGAGACCAGGACCCCTGCCCCCAGGGCCCAAAGGCATGAACCTGCCTGGCCCTGCCCTAGGTTACAGCCAACAGGAATGTACGGCAAGTTTTCAGGGCAGAGTCAACTTCCCCACAGACTGGGAGTACAAAGGGAATAGTCCCCCTCTGCCACCAGCACCGGGTGAGTCTGAGACCAGGCAGGAAGTGACACTCAGGCTGGGCAGGTCCCCAGGAGACGTAGTCCACAAGGACAGTTACTCTGCACAGTTGGGGTGAGGGGAGCCAGGCTGGGCACCCGGGACCTCAGGTAAACGAGAAGGGGGCGCTGGCCTGTCCTGGATCCCCTGCAGCCACCCCGGCTCCAGGCAGGAAAAGGCAGGGTTAATTCTGTTGGAGGAGGAAACACTGAGCTGTTGTTTGTTTATTCCACCAATGATGGAATGTGCTGGATCCCTCCGGGATCCCGTCTCTCGAGGACTGTTCTCCTTCTAGTGGGTTGCCCTTCTCTCTCTGGCATTATCTGTCTTCCCGTGGCTCGACATGTCATCAACACACAAACATGCCACCATGGCCATCAGCTTAAAGATAACCCCCCCCCCCATTTCTCTACTCCCGTTCACTGCCAGACTTGGGAAAGAGCTGTCATCTCTACTACCACACGCCTCTCACTAATCCCTCCCTAGTCTGTCTTACCTGCTCTTTTCCATTCAAACTGCTCTGGTCTAAGTCATGGATGACCTCTTCCAAAGCCAGTGGTGGAGGCTCAGCCGTCCCCCGGCCCGAGCTGACCACGTCCACTATTCTTGCTTGGCCCCCGCGGCCCTGCCCTCTCCTGCTTTCCCTCCTTCCTTGCTGGACCCTCCTCTTCTAACAGATCTACTGTCGGAGGGCTGGGGACCTCTCTCCCTGTCAGCTTGTCCACTCCCATGGCCTTAGGGGCCAGCCATTAGCTCATGGCTTCCAGAACTCATGTCCAGGCCGGGCCATGCCTAACTTGACATTTCCTCTTGGATGTCTAATTGGCATCTCAACCCTAGCATGCCCAAATAGAGAAATCTTTATCCCTCATCAAAAAAAAAAATCTATTCTTCCACCCCATTCTCCACCTCCATACAAGTGTCCACTAACTTACTGAGTGTCCTTGGGCAAGGCCTTCCCTTTCTGGGGCCTCTGTATAACGGACTTCCCAACCATTCATTCATGGAAAAACAAGGGCAACTATTTAAAGGACAGATTCCCAGGCCCTGCCCTGGGCGATTCCAAATCCACTGATCTGGGGTGGGGCCCAGGTATCTGTAGTTTTTTAAAGCTCCCCAGGGGACTCCCATGAGTGACAGAATCTGAACCCCCGCCCCCCACTTCCCAGCTTCTTAGCTCTCACAGGTTCTGGACCCACTTTCCGCTCCACTACCTTCCAAGCCCTTCATTGACTCTTATTTATCTCAACAGCCTTGTGAGGTTGAGACTATGATTATTTCCATTTTGCAGATGAAGAAACTGAGGTTCAAGGAGGGACATGACTAGCCCACAGTCACAACAAAACAGGCAGGACACCTGGATCCCTGCCCGATATTTTGAAACCCAACCAGATCCCACAACCCAGACTGGCTCCTTAGAGTTGGAACCCACCCCCACACCCACACCCCTAGGGAGAAGTCCATCTGGTCCCCTAAAGCCAAGAGTGGCTGTTTCCCATCTCCCTGCCCACCCCACCCCGGAGGTCCCTGAAGCTTCCCCATCACCGTAAATCTGTCCCCCAAGAACCCCAGTACACCACAGGGTCACAGGGGGGCCAGGTGGACCCAGGCTTGATTTCTGGCTCTGCTACAGGCCTGCTAGTTGAATGTTGTTGTTGTTGGGTGCCATCAAGTCTACTCCAACTCATAGTGACCCCGTGACAGAGTAGAACTTCCCCATAGAGTTTTCCTGGCTGTAATCTTTGCGGAAGCAAATCACCAGCTCTTTCTCCCGTGGAGCCGCTGGTGGGTTCAAAACAGCCGAACTTTCATTTAGCAGCAGAGTGTTTAACTGTTGCACCACCAGGACTGCTTTGCTAGGTGAATAAGTGCCTTAATCTTGCTGACCCTCAGTTTCCTGGGTTGTAAAATGGGGGTAATAACATCTTCATTCAGGGTTACAATGAGGATTAAATAGTGTGGTGCAGGCCCAGGGGCCCCCACGGACCAGGCCCTTGAGGTATTGGGCTCAGGGGCCCAGGGCTGAGATCTGGAGTCAGGGTCCGAGTTCAGCGTCCCACACCAGATACAGAGCTAGGCATCCGTGTGGACAGCCTGGCTGGGCGAGGTGGCCGCCCACCACAGGACCTGCCTATCTGCAGCCCGCCGGGCCCTCACAAAGGAACAATAACAGGAAAACATCCTGGGGGGAAGTGGGCCAGGGCCAGCTGGAAAACCTGAAAGGGCGGTCGCCAGGCCTCCCTCGCCTGCTGGGTGTGGCTCCCCCTGCCCCAGAGGCGGACGGCCAAGCCGCAGAGAGCTCTGTACCACACTCAGGTCTGGACGGACAGCCTGACAGAACAGAGGCGCCTCTCAGCCCACAGGCACGGTGAGTGAGGGTCCCCACACCGCATTCCACCCCAGAGCCACTACCATGTGCCCAGGATGGGAGGGTCCTCATCTTCCCCACCTCTAGAATGGCCGCATCAGGCTCCCAAGAGAGAACCGCTACTGGAGGGGAGACTGGGCCTCGTCCAGCTCAGAGCAGATGGGGAAGGTACACTCCCCAGTGCTGCCACAGGGCATAGATGAGGGCTTTGGGGCCAGGTGAGAAGGTGAGAGCTCAGCTGTCCCACAAATGGACTCTCCAGCTCAATGTGACCCCAGGGCCCACGGAGCCTCAGAGGCCCACTGGCTTCCATCTGTGCCAGGCTCAGAGAGGGCAGGATTCTTCCCAAATCACCCAGCACACCAGGGGCGGAGGACTGGCACCTACGCCTTGGCTCCCACTCTGTGCCCTTACCCCTCGGGAGTGGATTCACCAAGGCCTGACATCACCCCCAGCCCCAGCTCAGTTCTGTGTTGAGATACGAGGAAGGAGGCCAGAATGGAGCTCTGAGTCTTGTGCACCCTCTGTCAGCCAGAGCCCCCATTTTCAGGATGGGCACACTGAGGCTCAGCTCTGGGCACTTGAGGTGCTACCTGTGGAATTCCCTCCCCTCCCTTCCCCATGGGGGCTGACTATGTGCTGTGGAGCTGTGGTCAGGAAAATGACCTTTCCTTCCTCCCCTGCACACCCAAAGGCTGGGCCCAAAGGACTCGGGGCCCTCACATCTGAGGGCAGCCCCCAGGGACAGCCTTGAGAGAGGTGGTCTGGGGCAGAGCTTGGCTTGGACCCAGTTATCCTGGGTTCAGGTCCTGGCTCTACCTCTCGCTCCCCGTGTGATCTTGGGAACGTTACCCACCAGTTTACTTGTCTGAACAACGGGGATAGCAAATATTCTTGCAATTCATTGTGAGAGCTGGAGATACGCGCATAGAAGGTTCTCAGGCAATGGGGCTCCTTGTTTTACCATTATCAACAACACTGTGAGGTCAAGATAGCCTTTCTCCATTTCTCAACTGGGACAGCTGAGATTTGGAGGAGTTCAGTAGGAGCTGGCAGGGGGTCTGAACCAGGATCTCCTACCCCAAAGCCCAGGTTCTTTCTAGCAACCTCTGGCTTCTTATCTCTGTCTTCTTATTTGTAAAATGGGGGAAACTGTCTTTTCATGAGCCCATTAAATGAGGTGAGTGGTGTCCACATCTGGCAATGGGAATGACTCCGAGTAGGGAGATCCTTCAGGAATTGTGGCTGATTTATCTGCGACCCCAGGGCCAACCATGATTGTGAATGTCATGAAGGTTTGGGCCCCTGAGGTGCAGTCCGGGGCCACTAGACTGATCCCAGGCCCCGTAATGGATGGGTCAGGAGCCCTGCAGGTAAGAGGGAGTAGGTGGAAGTGAGAAGGTGCCAAGTCAGTTATTGCTTTGGGGAGCACTTCTGGGCACCTGCAATCTTCTGGGCACTGTGTTCGACCCCAGTGGAGGTGGGAGTGCAGGACCTCTGCCCTGTGTGGTGGCAAATAGGATTCTAATGGGACTCGAAGGGCATCCTGGGGACACAAGGCAGCCAGGGAAGCTCAGAGGACCTGGGCAGGCTGGTGGGGCTCGAGGGTTCTTTAGAGCAGGAAGTGCCAGCACAGGAGCTTTGGTTTGCCCTCGGGTGGCAGGCAGCCCGGTCTCCCCGCTCTGGCCTGTGTCCACCCTACCTGTGGGCCTCAGCCTGCAGGGCAGCAGATGACCCTCCGAGAGTCCAAGGAGTTGCTGAGCCCCCAGGCAGCCCCACTTCTTCTGGCTTCCTCTGGGGAGGAGGGTCTACTGGCCTTGAAGGGGTTAAACCACCCAGCTGAAGCAATTGTGCAGCTAAACAAGGGCCGGACATGAAAGCAGGAAGCCAGAGGGGGCCACACTGATTTTCTCTCAAGTTGATGACTCACAGCTCTGTTGCTGCCTTGGGGACACACAGTGGGCACAATGGCCACCAGCCCTGGAAAAAATCTCAGGCCCCTCACCTGCGTGGACCCATCCCTGTGACACCCATCACCTCTCTGCAGCCCCTAGGCAGTCCTGGAGGTACTACAGGAATCTCTGTTTTACAGATGGGACAACTGAGGCCAAGGTCTGAGGTCACATGGCTAGCATGAGGTGGAAGCAGGATATGAGCAAGGCTCAGCCCCTTCTGACCCTACAGCCCATGCCACATTCCATAGTGAAGCTTAGAGAGGGGAAAACCAGGAAGGATGACCCTGACAGTTCAGGTGACAAACTCGGGCACAAGGATGAGCCAGGAGCCTGATGCTCCTGGGAAAGTAATGTACTAGCAGACAGGTCCTGCAGTCAGGAGCTCGGCTTCTAGCTGGAGAGATAGTAAAAACCTGTCCTGACCCAGGTCCAAGTTGGGGCTGGATGGAGAAATCACCGAAGGCTTCCTGGAGGAAAAGCAGGAGCCCTGGATGCTGCAAGGCTTTGGAGCCCCTCCGCTCTCTGAGCCTTAGTCTTCCAATCTCTCTAGGGCAATTTTCCCTAAGGCCATTCAGAAACCCGTAGATTGTCTGCCTCAGGCCATGGTGGGAACGGCCAGGTCCTGGCAGGTGCAGATACTAGAAGGAGGGGGAAGCAGGCCTACAGGAGGTGGAAGGAGGACCAAGCAGGCGGTGAATAAGATTTCCTTCTGGAGAGGAATGGAGGGGAGGAGGAGATGGGCTCAGGGCAGAACCAGGAAACGGGGCCAGGCATGAGTCCGCTGGTGGAGCCCACAGCTCCCAAGCTGGAGAGGGTGGGGAGATGGGGGGGTGGAGACACCCACACACTTACTAAGGACCTACTGCACGCCTGGCTTCCCACCCAAGATCTCCTTTAAACGTCCAGTCCAGAGAGGCAGCCATGGTTGCCTCCATTACAGATAAGGCATCTGGGGCTCAGAGAGGGCAAGGGACGGGCCCGCAGTCACCTGGTTCATGAACAGGCAGGTGTGAGGGTATGTTTTGCTGTCCCCATCACCCTCTAGTCCTGCAGGGAGCACAGCAGGCAAAGTAGACTCCCCTGACACAGACTCAAAGTCAGGAAGCCCCAGAGGAGGCTGGAAAAGACTCCCTAGAGTGGGTGTTCTTCCCTTGAAGCTTGGAGCTGTCCCATGAGGAGACAGGGGGATAGACTGGACGACCCCCTGGGGCCCAGAGACCCCCACTCCACAGCTCAAATTTGTTTCAAATTGCAAACTAAGTCTGGTGAACTGATAATATCGACCTCAAAGATTGTGTTGAGAAGGATTCAGAGGCTGAGTTCAAGTCCAGTGGGAATAAACACTGTGATTGACTAGTGATGTCTGCCACAGGTAAGAAGTAGTAATTGGTACCCATGAGCTCTGTTTTGTCAGTCTTACCTTAGGAGATTCCCTGCACAGGGATAGATGCATGTTCATAGGAGCCCTTAAGAAAGATAATCTCATTGTTCCCAAAGGATCCAAATCCTAATGGCAATGTGTCCTACAATGTGATGGGTCATTTTTAGAGGAGCTATTTGGGGACAAAGAAAAGCTTCTTTGAATTATAACAACAATTATACCCGCTCTGGACACCCAAGGTGTTGTCTGCAAAATACGCCGATTTGTTCTTAAATCCTGTGGACCAGTGGCAAAATCAGAATTAGAGACCAAGCCAACCTGTCAGGCAGCAATGGGGACATCGAAACGCCAAGGTCTGGGGCCTTGAGTTTATACACCTGGATACTGGAATAGAGTGGCAACTTGGACCCAGGTGCTGTTGTCCTGGGAGACACAAGGCAGAAAGAAGTCAGAGATTCAGGCCAGGAAGGCAGAGGCTGTGCTGGGGCCGCAGTCAGTCAGAAGACCTCATGGAGAAGATGTCCTGGGGTTCGAAAGAAAGCATTCACCCAGGAGTCCCAGCAAATGGTTAAGTGCTCAGCTACTAACCCAAAGGTTGGTGATTCTAATCCACCCAGAGGCACCTCGGCAAAAAGGCCCAGTGATCTACTTCTAAAAGGTCACAGCCATTGAAAACCCTATGGAACACAGTATTCCTCTGAAACACATGGGGTCTCCATGAGTCAGAATTGACTCTATGGCCATGGGTTTTTTTTTTTAAAAACATTCACCCAGGGAACACAACAAGGAAGGGTATTCCAGATAGAGCGAACAGCTTCTACAAAAAGCCTGCTCTTGAGAGGAGGAGCACTGTTTACTCCAGAAACTTCTATCTCCCCTCGTGTCTGGCAGGGTCAGGGAGGTGGGGGAGAGAGGAGCTGCAGGGGTGATCAGGGGGCACACCTTGCTGGGCCTTGAATGCTGGCTCAGGAACAAGACTTCACCCTGCAGATTTGGGGAGCCAAGGGGGGGTGGTCAATGGGGAGAAGTTCAGCTCTAAGGGGAGTTGAGAGAGTGAGGCTGTTGGCAGAACCCCGATGGGAGGGGATGAAGCCTGGGACCCACAGGAGCAGGTCCCAGGACCTAACAGCCACAAACCAGGAGAAAACACCAAAGGGCAGCTCATAGCTTCTCACTCCCGCCCCCAGCACCCCCATCCTCTGGCTCCCAGGGCCTCACCCTTCATCCTTCCAGGGTCTGTGGCTGTCAGGGCCCAGCTGTAAATCTGGAGCTCGTGGCAGACAATTTTGGAGTCCCTAAAGAGGTGTGGGGGTCATTAGGGCCAGCCCCTGGCCTGGACTGAGGCTGGAGCAGGTAGGGGTGGGCCAGTAGTGGGGAGAGTGACCCAGGGCCACCCAGGGAGCCGGACCGCAGCTCGTGCCCCGCCTGCAGGCATACCTCCTCTGTGTTCTGGGCCATCTCCTCCACCCACTGCCGGTCCCTCATCCCTGACCCGAGGCCTCTGGTCAGAGTCCAGAGCCAGCAGGAGGCTGGGCTGGGACGGAGCGTCCTATCCACCCACCCTCTGGGGCTTTCCCTGGAGCAGGGTTCAGCTGCCAGATCTCAGCTGAAGGCGGGGTGCTGGGCGGGGCCGAGGGGCCAGCCTGGGTGGGCAGCTCTGCAGG